ACACAAATAAATATCAAATAAATCGTTGCTGAAACTATTCAACTCAGACAATTCAAACTTTCACAACACCTCAGTTTTTGTCACGACTGAAGAAAATCGGTGACACATTGAATGCAAATCAGGCATTGGGCAACTCACTGGTGCGAGACGGTAACTGGGGATGGAATGAATTATTAGCTGAATGAAATATTACTTGCTAATGGCATATCTGAAATGCTTATTGTCTTCAGCGGAATTTTGCAATGGAACTGTGAAATAATGGGATACTTCAGGTATTGTAATTAAGGAAAGCCTTTCCGTTGCTAAAGATTTACTTCCATATTGTTTGTGCAATAATTGAGTGAGGAATTCATATGAGACAATATCATTTCATCAGTAATTTAGTAATAGTAACACTTAATTGGAAATCCTTCATGCATGGCATGCAAGTTACCTGCTTGTCATATATGCATTAATAATGAAAATGCTGTTTAGTAAGATGCAAGTAGCCACGAAACGGGGAATTTTATTCACTAAGATAAGAGAAATATTAAATAAGTCTTAGAGGAACAATACTAATATACATATAAAGCAATAGAATGCTAATACAATAAGGAAAAATGAATTTACCTTATAGAAAATACAACAAAATAGCAATGCATATTTCGGTTTAAAATGCGTCTATCAGTCCATCATGTGATTCTTTATGTGTGATTTCAAATACGATTTCCTTTATTGCATACGGTGCAGTTGAATCTGGGCTTATCATTGTCACGAATCTTCATATATCTCCTCATTTTGTATGGTCGGGGGAAGTTTTTCTTGCATTCTGACTAGAGGACGGCTTCTCACCAGTATGAATCTTCGTATGTCTATGCGGACCCGATGACCGGGGGAAATCCCTCTTGCACATTTCGCATTTGAACGGCTTCTCACCAGTATGAATCCTTATATGTATATGCAGACTCGATGGCGCAGCGAAATCACTCTTGGATATTTTACATTTGAACCGCTTCCCATCTGTGCAAGTCGCATGTTCTTTCAGTCTTGATATTTCCTTTTGATCCATTTCGCACCAGGATCTCTTCTTTCTTACTATGCTTGTTCGTTCCTCACTGGCTTCTTGAACTGGTAAGTTTAGTGACCTTGCGTCATCCTGATCAATTTCGCTGTGTTCTACTTGTCTCCCACTTACTTCTGGCATTGATAGATATGATGGTCCAATACGTCCTTCAATCATTCTTGGCATTGACAAATCCAAAGGTTCTGTTTGTGGCTTCTCAAATTATATGGAATTATCAATTTTAAACTGCGCTAAAATTTTGAAACCTTAGAAATATTGCAGCAAAAAGAAGAAAAAAAATTTTTTTAACTTTAAATGAACTTACGATAGTTTGAGTGTCACTCAGTTGGGAGAGGAAGGACATGACACAGATGAAATGCACTTTGATACGAATGATTTCTTGCCAATTCTGAAAAAAAAAAATTCAAATTTATTAGTATACTAAAAAATGGTTGCATATAAGAAACAACACCGCCTATTATTTGACAAATGCGTAAAACTTCTTCAAGTATATACTATTCTAATATATTAGCATTGAAAAGAGATCGACATCCATTCATTGCATGTATAATACGAATATCTCTCATTCAAACGTTAAACACAACAACTTATTCATATTGGTCGCAAGCATTCTAAAGCAGATTTCATGTAAACTTGTACAATTACAAATTTAATAAAAAGGTAATCTTGTTTAAAAAAAAGGAATGCTTATCTTGGAGTCTTAAAATCGCATGACGCAAAACTTTGAAAAGCAGCTGACATTCTCTGTCGAAATAAATGAAATAGAACTTACTGAACGAAATTTCACGGAAGACAGTCCGACAGATATCACCAATTACTTCTGTAAGGTATTAGTAAAGGATCGCGTGTACAAATATTAATTTTGATGGGAGTGATCAGTCATGTGTGTGGTCGATAACCTATAGTAATATAATAATAGCAGTCATTTTTAATCCTTTATACTGAATAATTTTAATTCATCTGCCGTATTACATTGTAAAAAATAATTTATGCAAAATTTCCATAATATTTTTTGCAGTTTTCATTTTGCTTTAATTCTTTTTTTCTGGAAATTATTTTTGGTAAAATTTTTCACAAATGTTAATCACATTGATGCTTTTGCTATGTTTTTATTCAAACTTACGATGACGTAATATGTTTATGTTTTACATTACAGATTATTCAATAGTAATAGAAATTGATAATTTTACTGTATCATTTGTAATTTATTTTAATGGAACGAATAAATATGACATCGCAAAGAATACGTTATCCAATTAGGTAAAGAAGATTGAATTCCTGGTGTGTAACATATTGCTATCATTTAGTTAAGTAATATATCGATGTTTAATTCAGATATTACGGTAGATTATGACTAATTCAAGGTAATTAACATTCTTATCAAAGTATGACGAGACATGTAACTGGAAAATGTCCATCAAATCAACTTTTTTTTTTTTCTAATATATTCCATATTATATTTCCAATATGATAACCTCATGTTTCCGAGGAATATTCGAAATGTAAATCATCTTCTATTAAGGTTAGAGTAAAATTTCACCATCATATGTATTGATAAAATAACAATCACTGTTTAATCCTTTATAGTGAATAGTTTTATTTCAATTGGCATATTGCATTGTGAAGAATAATTAATTTATGCAAATCTTTTGCAACATTTTTTGCACAATTTTATTTCCTTTCACTAAAAATTTTTATCTAACTATTTCGGATTAATGGGAATTTTTTTTTTAAAAAAAAAAGAAAACCTAATTTTTAGGCCAGTTTCGTGATTATTTGATAAGTGTTTTTGCCAATTTTGATCATGTGTTATCATTCTGATATATTTGATTACTGTCAAAATCGCTGAACATGTTGCGTACTAGCGAACACGCACCTAAAAATTTTCATCTAGGTATTCCGGATTTTTTTTTTTTCAAAAAGATCAATTTTTTTTTATCAGTTCACTATTTTGTTGGGGAAAAAAAAAGTGAAATTAGTGGTAAAAGAGGAAAAAGAAAATTTTTGGTTTTCGTAAATAAATGACGAATTCAAAAATTTTTAAATATTGTTAATAAAAATGATAAAATTGTTGTAATTTATAACAATTATACTTTTACATTCATTTATTGAATCAATTTATTTTGCATCATTTTTATTTTTATTTTTTGATAATATATTGAAAGATGAAGAATTTCTGGAAGAATTTTATCTTATCAAAAAATCGATTTAAAAATTTAAATGAAAAGATTTGTAAATGAAGTGACGTTAAAAAGATGAACGTGATTTAAAAAAAAAAAGCGTAAATATAAATGGAGGAAAAAAGAAAAAACGTAAATATTATGACGGGAAAAAAAAAAGTAATTGTCACATTTTCTATAACTCTTTTCATCCTTTGAGCATAATTTTGCAATTCAATCTACTGCTAACAATATCTATTAATGTTATCAATTAAATTTTAAAATGCTTATATGGTTAATTGCTTTTTTTTTCATTTGTTTAAATTAAAAATAAAAAAATTAAAATTAAAATTTAACTTAAAAAAAATTAAAATTGAAGTCTAATTTTTAAATTAAAATTTAAAATTAAAATTTATAGCAATAAATTTATGTCAATATATTTCACAAGTTAAAAAAAAAATTATTAAAAATTGAATTAAATAAGATAAATAGTCTTCGAATTTCTCTTTTGTTATGATTTTAAAAGGATGGCAGTGGAAAAATGGCAATATTTTAAATTTTATTTCGAAGTATTGTCAAAATTGATTTAATTTCGGTTTTGTTTTTTTTTTTTCATCAGTTTTTTCAATGATATGTAATACATTTTTAATTGGAATTATTTAAACAAATGATCGAACAATCGATTGAAAAGAAATACAGTAATCAGTAATATAAAAAAAAAAAAAATGAAAAAAACTCATTCAATCAGTAGCAAAAATTAGAAATGTAAAATTGTGAATCAAAAAAAAAAA